CATCGCACGACTCCACTAAAAGTTTGATGCCGAATAATCTCTCGATTCATATGCGCTATTTTCTGATGGTGTTAATACAACTTATCACACGGTCCACAGAATAAATGCATTATTATCCTTCGTAAATATCAGTGATCAGAATGGTATAGAATATTACCGTTTTACCATTCCAATCATTATTTCCTCAACTCTTTTATTTGACTGTGAATAAGAAAGACATATGTTCATAAGATGTCTCGCACATGTCACCTGATTTCACTACTGCGGTTTGAAGTTTTACTGGCCTCCTCTCTTCACTCAAATATTTCAAAAATCTCTCTTACAGCTCGGTCACTCAATGCTATAGCTAAGGGTATTATATGGAAGTGACACAATTTATAAATGAAGAGATTCGCATGTGACACAACCAAAATGTTCAGAATTCATATGTTTCTTGATTTCATTTACGGTAAGACTTATGGAAGAGCTCTCTATTAAATTTTGCCTCAATTATGTTGCACTCATCCATTTGAGGGATACATTGATTAGATTCTGATGCAGCCAAAGATGAAGACAGTGTCATAGTATATATGTGTGTGTATGTATGTATGTATGCATGTATGTATTATCCCGGGAGACATATCCTTGTGTATAATATGTATATTTTGGGACACCAAAATGCTTTTCCCCTTTGGTATATTTGTCACCTTCCTTATTGCATAGAGCTGGACTGAAATGAGCGGTTGACAGGATATGTCTCCATGGTGGTTTGATTATTATTTTAAAATGCCAAACTCTTATTTAATCATTGCTAGTAATTTTATTATCCCATAATAAATGTAGAAATTTATCTCACGTACAACATAAAGTTGTGAGAAATGGAAGTAGTTTCTCACATGTAATGAAATTTATACGAGGATTCGGCTTTGACTATGTATTATTAAAATAGCTAATTAGTTTTGTTACGGTTGTTACCTCAAGGTAAGAGTCTGTTACCTCGAAGGAATTGATTCCTTTGCTATTTTGTTCTTTTGCTATTTCTATTATTCCTTGCTCCCTCTTTTCTGTTTTGCTGTACGTTTCTCCCACAGGCTATATAATGCCCGGTTGTAATCAAGCAAGTAATGAGAATGTGTCTTTTTCCATTCTTCATTCTTTTCCTCTGATTTTGTAATATGGTATCAGAGCACCTTCTTTTCGTTGCTCATTTTTTCTAATCCATGGCGCGTGGTGGTGGTCAGCAAAATTGTTTTGCTCCATTAACGACCTCCCCTCCAGCAGCCTCTGCCCAGACATCCTCTGCTTCTACACAGAGGTCGGCTAGCAACATGGACAACTCGAATAGCCCATTCTTTCTCCATAGTGGAGACAATCCCGGGTTAGTTCTGGTTTCTCAACCTTTGACTGGATCAAATTATAATACCTGGAAAAGATTGATGCTCATGGCCCTCAACACCAAGAACAAAATCAGCTTTGTGGACGGCACCCTGGTGAGAACCCCTGCAGGTGACCTCACTTTCAGTTTTTGGTCTCGGTGTAATAGTATGGTCACTTCTTGGTTGCTTAATTCCGTTGCGAGGGAGATAGCATACAGTCTTCTTTATCTTGATACTGCCAGAGACGTGTGGATCGATCTTTATGACCGTTTTCATCAGAGCAATGCACCACGCATTTTCCAGATCAATAAGCTTCTACTTGGACTATCTCAAGGGTCCCTTGACGTTAACGCCTACTATACTCATCTCAAAATACTTTGGGATGAGCTTAAAGATTTCCAGCCCATACCGGTCTGCAGCTGCGGAGGAATGAGAAGCTGGATGGAGTACCAACAGCAGGAATACGTAATGCAATTTTTAATGGGACAGGAATACGTAATGCAATTTTTAATGGGACTGAACGATTCTTTTGCATCAACTAGGGCTCATATTTTGTTGCTTGATCCACTGCCCTCAATTGCTAAGGTGTTTTCCCTGGTCATACAAGAAGAAAGGCAACGTACTATTAGGTCAGAAGTCGCCTCCTCTTCACCGGGTTCCATGGCGTTTCAAACTTCTACATCCCTATCTCCGGTTGCTAATGCGGCCACTTTTTCACACCCCAAGTCACGCGCAAACAGGCCCAGTTGCACTCACTGTGGGTTCGTGGGCCACACTGTGGACCGGTGTTACAAGTTACACGGGTATCCTTCTGGGTTCAAGGCCAAATCCAAGCCAGGCCTGCCAGGCCCATCAGCAAACCCACAGAACTCCACTCAATCCAACTTCTCTCATCACATCACAATGCAAAGCCAGTCTCCTGCACCTCCGCCGACACAAGCACAGGGCTCCTCCCAGCCCTTGCCGACGTTCACTCCAGACCAGTGCCAACAGCTTATTGCCCTGCTAAGCTCACAGCTCCATCTCAATGCCAACAGTCATTCTGAAGTTGCTCAACCTTCTGCCTCACATTTCACAGGTATTTCTTCTCATTCTTCCAATTTTCAATCTTCGTCTGGTAGATGGGTAATAGACACAGGGGCTACGCACCATGTGTGCTCCGATTACTCACTTTTTTCTACTCTAAACCCATCGCCTGGATCTAAACTCACCTTGCCTAATGGTCATCAAGTTGACATCACACATGTTGGCTCTGTCACGTTGC